ATTACACAATCTAGTCCTTGTTTCGAGTATATCCAAAGATATAGATTCCTTGTCTAGAACTTCAAGTCAATTTAGAAATTTCTTATTCAGATTATTATTTTTTTTCTTTGTTGGTAGAAACCTACTAATTGTCCAATTCATTGGGGAGCGTCTTTTGGAGTGACAATAAGGTATCCTTCTTTTTGTCATTTTTCAAAAAGTTGATAAACTTGGCGGATATGTAAGAGATGTTCTTTGTTTTCCATCACTTTTACATGTGTCAAAAATATATTGTGATATTTCAGTTCTTACGGTGTGTTCAAATAGATTATTCTTTATGTAGCAAAATAGTCGATTCCATCAATTATAATTGAAAAGAAAACTCAGAAGAGGTTTTTGAAACCAGAAGAGTTTTTTATTTTCATTTTTTGTCAAGCAGTTGCAATTTTAAATTTTTTGGATTCCCTATGTTATTATTATTCATATAAGAATTCTCATAATCATAAATTGGACTATTACTAGTATTAATATTGTTTTAGCCTGTCTCTGTATGGTGAGAGTGGAATTATCCTTTTTTTTTGTCCTTTCCATTCACTCGAATTTCTTCCGTTTCATCGATTTCGTCCGGATCCCACCCTTTCTCCGGAAAAAGGGAAGGATAAGGATAAGGATCTTCTTCAGTGGATCCGTCTTGTTCCTGTTTAGTCCCCTTCATTTCGGAAGTAGTTTCTATTTCTATATTTCTTTCTTCTATTTTTGAGGCTTCTCTCAGTTTCTTAATAAGAATTGGTGAGGGTATTCTGTCTAAATAGTAGACACAGGTAATAAATAAGAGAATACTAAAGCTCTGAGTCATAGAATTTCTCAATTCTAGCACAAGGTACTTATTAGATTGAGTATACTTATTCGATCTAACATAATGATTTTGCCATATCCATACTAATACCAATCCAAGTCATTTCATGAATAAAATGTGACCAATTAACCAACCAACAAAACAACTTGTTACAAATAAGATCTTGTTGTTACATCGAAAGAGATAAATGTCGACTAATTTGGCTAACATCGAACTTGGTAAAATGAAATGGTTGAATAGTTGAAAAATGAGATTATTCAGGAATTCACATGAAATGCTGAGATTACACATTAAATTTTTTTTGTAGTATATCCATAATTAAAGAAGTGTTTGTGATTGTTATAGAAGAAAGGAAACAAAAGATATAGTAGAGCTATGACAATTATTTTATGAGGTATACCTAATGCTAGATGAAGAGGCGCATAAATGATCGATATGAACATCATGAGCTGTCCCGTAATAAAACCAATTGTTGCTGATACCTTCTTCTTGGTTCCTTCTTTCATAACCAGAGCTCGGAGAAGGAAGAGATAAGAGGGTCCTAGGGAGAATTTGTTCAGAAATCCATAATAGAGCCTGACCACAATGACTGAATTGATTATCTTCTTGCATAAGGATACTAGATTACCTAGTAAAGAAGATTAAAAAATTATCACAAACCTCCCTTATTTCTTTTCTATTGCAATTTCTGGCTTATTATATGATGATTTTTGAACTTTCCTTATATAGATAAAGAAATAGAAAGACATAGACTAAAAAGGACATCTGTTATGTCAATGACACCAAAGGAATATTAAATAAATAGAATTTGAATATGGATGGAATATAATGAAATAGAGCCACTTTGAGGCTTCCTCTAAAATGAGGCATGTAAGGAAGCCACTACGAAGAAGTTTGGAAGTTATGAAGGAAGCTTTGAGATTATATTTGTCATGGTTGGGAACGGGAATTGAACTATATGAGATTGGATCTCCTGTTGTTCCTTAGTAGCTCAGTGGTAGAGTAGTTGACTGTTAACCAATTGGTCGTAGGTTCGAATCCTACGTGGAGAGATTTGATTTATTCTGAATTCTTTAATTCAGAATAAAGGGGCTCGCTTTGCCCGTTAAGAGTAGGTAACTCGTTCCCTGTCTTTGTTTCTATTGCATTCTATCTCATCATATCACATTCTGTTCTACGAGATTAGAAAATCACCATCAATACCTTGGTATAGGTCTGAGATAATCCTTTGTTAATATCCCTGGCGATATTTACAACTATCCAATTAAGAAGTCTCAGATGTACTAGCACTACATCTTTGATGCAGTCATCGATTCTCCCAATAGGTCACAATTTCCGTGAGTAAACATATTAATGACAAGGAAGGCTTTTTTGTTATGCTACTAATACTTGCTCTGCTATTTCGCCAAGCCTGGCTGAGGAAGAGTTACGAGGCGTAAAACAAAAAAATACATCGATCGGGCATACTACGTGTAATGATTCCCCCATTCACGATAAATAATAAATAAAAAGATAAAAAGAAAAACCATTCCATTTTGACAAAAGACCCACACCCAAGTTCCATAGCTTTTGGTTCGCTATCCCGATCATTATTTTTCTACCCCTAGAGGGAAAGGTACTTCCTTTTTGGGCCAGTTGTGGGCGAGGAGGGATTTGAACCCCCGACATCATGGTTCATTGCCACGTTCTCTAATCCTCTGAGCTATAGGCCCTACCTCATCTCCATTGGATCTGTTATCAAGAGTACCCTCAAAAAAAGAAACCTTTCCTCTCCCCATCCATTTCGGGTTAAGAATATGTGAAAGCGCGTTTATCTCTATTAGAAGGGTGCATTTTGAGGTGTGAAGTGGGAGAGAAGGGATTTCACAATTGGGATTTTGAATAAAATGACCTATTGATTTTTCTTTTCTTTTTTGTTTTCATATTGAAAAAGTAATAAGAATGAGAGGTGTTAAGCTTTTTATCATCCTGGCATCGAGCTATTGTTCCACAGGACCTCCCTACAGTATACAGTTTAACCACAAAGTTTGGGAAGGATTTGTGTGGTTACTCTACGCCTAGGACACCAGAATATCGAACCATGAATGAAGAAAGGCATGAGAGAAAAGCATATTGGCTAGTGATTGTGAGGTCCTAATTCTTGACTAGGGGAGACACCAAAGGCGTCTGACCTTCCATCCCTTGGATAGATAGAGAAGGAGGGCAGAGCTTTTGGTATTTTTTATGTTGTCAAAGAGTTGAACAATGATTTTTTCGTGTTGTCAAAGATTTGAATAATGAAAATAGATGGCGAGTGCCTGATTGGATTGATCAAGTCATGTCGGAATAAGGTTCAAGTATACCGGTCTGTTAGGATGCCTCAGTTGCATACATCACTGCACTTCCACTTGACACTTATCATAATGATAAATGGCTCATCTCGCCGTGACCTTCTCTTGAATTCTCAAAAAACCTTCTATCGCTCCATCCTGCAGGGGCAGAGAACCCGTCGCTGTCTCAGTTGTGCTACCGGAAGCTCTGGGTAAATCGGAATAGGAGAGAACTCATATTGGGGTGGGCATACTACTTAGATGCTTTCAGCACTTATTAGCTCTACACTTGGCTACCCAACGTTTACTGTGGGCACGATAACTGGTACACTAGAGGTGCATCCTTCCTGGTCCTCTCATACTAGGAAAAGGTTCTCTCAATGCTCTAACACCCAAATTGGATATGGACTGAACTATCTCATAACATTTTGAACCCAGCTCACGTACCGCTTTAATAGGCGAATAACCCAACCCTTGGAACATACTACAGCCCCAGGTGACGAAGAGTCGACATCAAGGTGACAAACCTTCCCGTCGATTTGAGCTCTTGGGGAAGATCAGATTGTCATCCCTAGAGTAACTTTTATCCTTTCATCAATAGCCCTTCCACTCAGCATTGTCGAATCACTAAGGTTGACTTTTAACCCTGCTCGATGGGTGGGTCTTACAGTCAAACTCCCTTCTGCCATTGCACTCGAGGGCCAATCTCCATCCGGCTCGAGGAAACCTTTGCATGCCTTCATTTACTTTTTGGAGGCCTACACCCCATAGAAACTATCTACTTGAGACTATCCCTTGGCCTATAGGTCCTGACACAAGGTCAGAATTCTAGCCCTTCTAGAGTGCTATCCCATTGATAGTTCGGGCCCCCCGGAAGGAGTCCTTCTTCGCCTTCCACCTAAGCTGTGCAGGAAAGGCCCAAAGCCAATCCTAGGGAACAGTGAAGCTTCATAGGGTCATTCTGTCTAGGTGCAGGTAGGCCGCATCTTCACAGACATGTCTACTTCACCAAGCCTTTCTCCGAGATAGTGCCCAGATCATTACGCCTTTCGTGCGGGTCATAACTTACTTGATAAGAAATTTCGCTACCTTAGGACCATTATAGTTATGAACGCCATTCACCGAGGCTTCATTCATCGGTTCTGCTATCATCAGGACACCAACTTCCTTGACCTTCCGGCACCAGGCAGGCGTCAGCCCCCATACATAGTCTTACGACTTTGTAGAGACCTGTGTTTTTGGTAAACAGTCTCCCAGGCCTAATCACTGCGACCCCTTTTGTGAGGAGGCACCCCTTCTCCCGAAGTTACGGGGCTATTTTGCTGAGTTCCTTAGAGAGAGTTGTCTTGTGCCCCTAGGTATTCTCTACCTACCCACCTGTGGCAACTTTGGGTACAGGTACCTGATGAGCCCGCAAGTGTACGGGTCGTACAAGTAATACAGTGGCTCTTTTTAAGAACCGGAATGTCGAACCCACAGGAATAGGAATACGGGGTGAA